TCATCAGAAATTCCTGAAAAACACCAAAGAACAACTTCAAGCCCATTTAAGGAATATCCAACTGCATCGTCATTTATTACATCGTCACTTTACCTCATACTACCTTCAAAATTGGCCGCAAACTAAAAATTATTGGCAAAATTCCAGCAGCTGAAAAAATGTTCTATTTGAAAATTTATTTTTCCGGTAGCGTTATTACTCGGAATTTAATTTGGCCAAATTTTGACTTTTTTCAAACTTTTTCTATTTTAACTTTTTTAAAATGCGAATGACAGCACCTTGGATTTAGTAATCTTCGGGTTTTCCCCACTCTTCATCAATGCTGAGCTGGCTAGCACTTTCGTCTTCAGAATTGACACAACAAAATTTAGACATCCGATATACCTCAGTCCCCGACGGGAGGTTTACCGTACGAAAGTGAAATTAGAACGAGAGCATTCTACAACAGAAAAAACCACATTCAAGCTTACAGAGTGCCCTACCTCCTGAGCGGCCGTTTTCCAGTGGTAGGGCCACTTCCCGTTCCCCCCACTGTTGTAACCATTGCCGTCGTCCTGCCCCCCTCCCCTCTCGCGAGAAGCGAGTCAAGTTCCTTGAGGGAAGGAACAAACTCGAAGGTGGCCTCGCGACCTATGTGATCTTATATATAGCTGACCAATGAAAGGGATTGGCATTGTAAAAATTTGTATTTCTCCAGAAGGGCAGTTTTAACAGCCCAAAGATTTCCTTCGTCATTTTGTTATTTATTAAATTCTCTTTGCTAATAGTTTTATGTATATTAGCATTTTGAGTGCTTGGTGAAGGTTTATTACTTGAGTTTGAGGTTTAGACACCCTACTTTGAATTCCAATATATTGGATATTGAAATTAGTTATTCATTTCTCTTATTGGCCGATCATTGGGAGCTAGCCCAATTAGAGTTATTATTGGGGTCTAAGTTCCAATATATTAGATATTGGAATTAACCGCGCTATTTTGCTATTGACAGATTGGTGGGACTTACCCAGTTGGAGCCATTACTTGGAATTCCAATATACTGGATATTGGAATTAGTCTTCTCTTTTATTTGGCGGTTCGTCGATATTACGTCCAGCTGGTAAACCGACCTTGGACCGCTCTGTTTGACTGATTAAAATAATCTGTATTATTTTATTTTATTCCTGCTATTTCTCCTATCTTACTATATTATCCGATATTTCATTAGTGGCGACGTTTTCCGAATATCGTCTGTTACACCGACGAGGGCTTAACTAGTGAGTTTAACTAGTGATTTGAAACTAGAAGAAGAAGCTATTTTTGATCAGATGTTTAAGGAACCGGACTGGTTTATTTGCAATCATAGACCTAGCAACCGAAGCTTTATCTCAAAGATTAGTCTTACAAAAGCGGATTGAGCACAGTTTAGGAACCCGCTGCAATTTCATTGTAGGAGGACCTCCCACAATGGATGTGGGCATTTGCAACTTTGGACTACGTAGGACACAAACAAATAGTTCTTCACGTACCTTGTTTAGATCTTCTTTAGCACTGTCTTCCTCTGGAACTGCTTTTAAAGTTCCGGAATCTACTGACAATCGAATAAGTCCTTGTTGTTTTTGTAATTTGAACCATCCTGCGTCTAAGTGTGACAAGTATCCGCCAGTGAAAGAAAAGTTTAATTACACAACAATCACTCTAATGCAGCAGCAGCTTCTGCATAAGGTCATTCAGAACACAATCGACTCCGAGATCAAGCTCAATGACGTGTGTGTCCTGAGAGCAGTTTTTTATGAGGCCTTAAGCTCGTTTGAAATACCAATGTATCGCGTGGAGTTGCCAGACGCGAATTATACGCAAGTTGCTAAAGTCATTTTTGATGACTTTGATGCAGAGTTAACCGAAACCTGTAGTCTGGAACAGCAGTTTACAATGGAAGTGACAGGCAGATTCGCAAAGGCGCTTCCCCGTGATTTCACCTTTTCTTTTTTATCAGCTACAACAGATGTGAGGCTCAGTTGTATGGGGAAGCTGAATTCTGAGGATAAAATAACTCCAGACTGCGTGTTTATGTCCGACGATGTATGGGGTAGTAGTAGAATTTACCACTACTCGGCGTCAAGCAAAAAAGAGTTTAGAGGAGGCGTACGTGCTTAAATTAATCAAATGCTTCATTGTCTTGAAGTAGAGGCAAGAGGCGTTCAGGACTAAGATTTTATTTGGTACAATAGTCGTTTCCGAGACTGGAGTTTTATCAAATATTTTTTTTATCAGAAAATGAAGTGAATGCTTTTGTCTTTCGATATAGATGCAGCCTTGATATCTTGCCGACCTTTGAATCGCGCGACTTCTTCACTTCTTTGAAAAGACAAGAGATCAATTCGGAAATTTTGCACGTAAAAGATCAGTTCAGAGGGCTAGAGTTTTATGGAACTCCCAGAGTGCTCTACTTTTTCTAAAGAATTTAACCATTTTTGCTTAAAGCCTTATGACCCCGTTTACGTGAGCTAGTTAATTAGGTACTGCTTCAAGACGACACAGGTTAATGTCATAAGAGATAATTATATGAAGACTTGCTCATGCCAGGAAAAGCGTGAGTGTTCTTGTAACAGTGAAGTTCAGCGCTATATTCTGAATGAAGAGGAGTGTGACCGGGCGATTGCCTCTTATCAATGTCAGTTTCTTGATTATACGAGGTGATTAAGTTTTGTAAGATGGTAGACAAATGAGAAAGTTTTTTACAACCACTGGAAAGTCAGAATCAGGAGGTAGATTAAAAAATTCTTAAAGTTATTATTCTTAGAAAGCTACCATTATGGGCGAAAGATGAGGTTTTTAAGGCAAAATCGGTAGAAAGAAAGTGGTCAGTAGATCTGTTGTGTTCTACTTTACGCGCATTGTTGCGGCGCATTAGACAATTAGAAGTAGACAAAGGTGGTAATAAACCTGGCATTTGCAACTTTGGACTACCTAGGACACAAACAAATAGTTCTTCACGTACCGTGTTTAGATCTTCTTTAGCACTGTCTTCCTCTGGAACTGC